AACTTTTGTGATGTAAAAGGGTCTTAAATAGGTATATGATGGTAAAGACTGAGAAAAGTGTATGTCCCAGGTAAAGTCAGCTATCCCTTAACTGAAATGATGAAAACTAAACAGGAAATGTTAAAAATTTGACGCATGTGTATTAAAAAAATTTGTTTTTCCCCCCCTGTTATTTGTAAGATATTTTATTAATATTTTAAAACAGATTAGCCCATGAGCAGTGGTAAACATTAGGGCTTTGCCTGAGCACAGCTGCCGTGTAACAAATGAGTTAACTGTGAATAGGATTATAATACTAGTTTACTAATGTCATCAATTTCTCACATAGCATAAAAAAATAGAGTAACGCAACTATAAGACATGTATGAAAAACATAGTGTGCAAAAAGAGCGTAAAACGCTATTTTTTCGGTTAGGTTTAAGGTTCCCAACCTTTTTTGTGCCACGGGCCGGTTTAATGTCAGACAATATTTTCATGGACCGGCCTTTAAGGTGTCGCGGATAAATACAACAAAATAAAATGATACGGCCAAGAGAAAAACTGTGGTATTTTGTAAATATAATAATAAACACGAATTCACTGTGTAATTGTGTAACTTTATTAGCAGCGTCCTCCTGAAATGCGGCAACAACATTGAGAGTAACATCCTCCTGCCCCTTAATGCTCTCTGGTCGCTATGGCAACGTGTAACTATTTCTTTCAAAATAAGACACACGACTACAACACGGGAAAAGACCCAGGGAAACCGAGTTAACGATAAAAAACCTGAAAACCATACATTTCACACCCGAGCCTCAGCTCTCGCGGCACGGTACCAAACGACTCGGCCCGGGGGTTGGGGACCGCTCTCTTATCTGATAGTAATTTTTATCTATTAGTATTGACTATGTTTTTTTGACAACTTCACCCATGAGAGTAATCTGTTGACCAGTTTGTGTAAAAACCAAACAAACAAACAAACAAAAACATTTGTATGTATTTAGGTTAATATTGGGTTTTTAGACTAATACCGATATTTGATAGTTAAAATAAGCCAATCTCAGCTGGTACTTTTTTTCTTTAAGACACACAAAACATAAACTGATTTCTCCCTCGTGTCACTCTCATTTGGTGGCGGCAGATTGCTAGCCCTCCCTGAGGCTGGTCTTGCTTGATGTTTCTTCCTGTTAATAGGGAGTTTTTCCTTCCCACTGTCACCATGTACTTGCTCATAGTGGCTCATCTGATGGGGCTTCTTTCTAATATTTCCTTTAACTTGAGGCGACTGTTGTTGTGATTTGGTAATACATTCTCAGTTTAGTTTTATTTATATAATTGAATAGAATTTTAATAACACTTGTTAGATGTAGTTATTCGTGTAAACTTCCTAAGACCATAAGTAAAAAATAATTTTATACTGTTGCTCTCTGAAGCTATATTTAACTATGAAAGCTAGGAAGGGTGTGCAGCTTCTGTCAGCTTTTAAACCATACTTTACATTTATGCGCATGTCTCTTGTCTATGCTGTAGCCTGAAGCACACCACAATGATAAGTATGGGCAGTGGAAGGAAGAGATTATTGAGGGGTACAGCAAACAGTCAAAAACTGATATCAGTTTTTAGTGTTTTAAAAAACGTGTGTGTGCTCTTTTTTCTTTTCTTTTTTTTTTTTTAAATGTCCCTTCAGCATCTGCGTCTTTGGTCAGTAACATTTTGAAAAACCTAAATGCATTAGTTCAGTAAAATCTCATCGACCCATTCATAATAGAACAAAAATGTAATTATATAGAATCCTGCTCCCTTTGCCGGTGAAAGTCAATGGAATTTGTTTGTGAGTAATCCTTCCAGGGATGGAGTCCCTTATCTAATTTCTCCCTTCATGTATTCTTCTTTAAAAGCCTGAAACCCCTTTTTCCTGTCATGTAGCCAAACCTGCCCTTTGACCTTCTGTGAGAAGGGACACCACTGTGAGAAGGGGTTAGGAAATCATTCAAGTACCATTCCTAGGTAGTAGTGAGCTAGGTCACACGGGACTGTAAATATATTACATTTAAAGGCAGAACTTTCATGGAGGATAAATTATGGGACTCCTTATCAGCAGCCACCTCTCATCCAGAGCTGTCAAATGATTTACAGTAAGCTGGCCACTGCGTACCTTAGAATTTGCATTTCATAACACCAAATGTGCTTTCTGGTTCTGAAACAGCCCCCACAGTGTGATTGAAAATTAGTTAATAATTCAGAGTCGTTGGAAGCAGTGGGACGGGGATGGCGGTGTTTGCTGTTCGCTTCACAGCTGCATGGGGTCTGCCAGTGACAGATGGCTCAGCCCATGTGGAGAATTTAGTGCCAGTATATCCCAATAGAGTGTTGGACACTGTGTGTGCGTGTCTCTTTTCCCTCACCCTGCTCTTCTTGCTCATTCCTTTTGTCAATCTCACTCTCTCATTTCATTCAATTGTGTAAGCAGCATTGAATTTATATGGAGAAGAAAGACAGAGGGGGAAAGCGCTAGAGCTTAATGTTGATTATTTCATAGTTTTATATTTATTGTAGTTTAATCACACTTTGGTGTTGGAAGAGTCATTTGAAAATCTGTAGCTCAGATGTTTCCCTTGTTCAACTGTTGGTTTTTATCACAGAATGTGGCCTGTAGCAGTTTTGTAAGTTGTTGTTCTCCTGCTGCTCATCTGTAGGGTGTCCAGGTGTCTCTGAAAGATATTTTCAGCTCTCTGCATGGGTGCAGTCACTGACACTGCCTGCAATAGTCAGCTCGAGGACAGCTGGTACTACCTGTTGGGAATCGCACAGACAACAGGATATTGCAGGCATTCTGTTATGGCATTATCAGAGCCCTGATCCTGGATTTGCTTGCCAGTGGATGTTTTGTTTTGTTTTGGGTTTTTTTTTTTTTTACTAAAATTCATACTATTTTCTACTGTAATGATGCAATCATTCAAAAGTGGTTACCCATTTCATTCAAAATTAATTTAGATTTAAAAGTGAAGTTCAAATTAGTCCCATTTAAAATATCACAGAGATATTTTAAATATTTAGAGCTGTTCATGTTTTACATTTCTAATGTTACACAAAATCTGACTCTATATTTAATACCAGTATGTGCGGAGCGGTGATGTCACTTTGCCAGCTCACACGTTGCTGGGGCTGAGTACCGTAAACTGTTTGCTCAGCAATCTTTAGAATGACCACGCTGACCTAGAAACTGATCCTGAAAGAGTGGGAAAAAATTTTTCCAGAATGTGTGACATTTGCAAATGATTGCATTCTGCTTTTGGTTTTCCATTTTCCACAGTGTCACAACTTTTTTGGGAATTGAGGTGATATGCATGAGCCTGCAAATGCACTACTTTGAAAGTGTGTCGGTTTCCAAAAAGAAAAAGTAACTTAACACCTTATTTTGGGATGAACTTGTTTTTCCAGAGCTGCCAGAGAACTGGACAGACACGAAGGAGACTCTGTTGGAGGGGATGGTGTTCAACGTGAAGTACCTGGGTATGACTCTGGTGGGCCAGCCTAAAGGAGAGGACATGGCCTCTGCTGCCATTCGCAGAATTGTTGCCACGGTGAGTCTCTATCCCCCATTAGAAGCTTAAACCTAATGCATTATAATGCATGTCACTATATGAGCTGTGCTGGTATTACTTGATTTTACTAAACTAAGTAGTGTATAAATTATACCCTATTAGCAAAAATCTGTCATCAAGATCTAGAACTTAGAACGTTTTTATTGTCAATGTACAGTTGCTTATACAGTGAAATTAGTTAGCCAGACCACAAAGGTCACAATCATATTTCTAAAGTTTAAAGAGGGAAACTGTGAACATTTCAACTGCAGTGATATTTATTTAGAGGATTACTGTGACAATGTACTTTCAAATTCCAGTGCACATTATCTGAGTGACTCTAAGATGACTCTAAGATGACTGATTGCTAAATTTAGATTTCATCCATGTCATCTTAATGGCTCAGGACATTGTTTTAAAGATAAGCAAGCAAAGGGTCAGTGAATTTGATTGTCATCATAACAGGAGCAAAATCACTGTGACACTGTCAGAATCATTTAAACTATAACCTTTGATTATTGTCTTATATGAGTATTAAGGATAAACAGCTCAGTTAAAGGAAATCTTTTGATTGAGACGTTCTGCGAAATATTTAACAGCTTACTGCGATTACTCTTAAACCAAGTAATCAGCATCATTCACAGGGAAATTTCTGTAATTTGCTTGCCAAGTTGTTTACAAAGTTTATCTCTGTGTCAAGGTTTGCACGTATATGCATGGAAATAGAGCAGCTAATCCAGGATTATCAGGGGTTGCACACATGCAGAAGGCCAATCTCTGTTTTCATGTTTGTGCTTACCACCAGCATACTGGGGATTTCTGGGTACGGTTTTCTACATTAGTTCAGCCGGCTGGCAGTTTTCTCTTGAAACTACAAGAAAACCATTGCATTTAAACCAGTTAACTTGGAATACATACCAAGAAGCCAATTCCTGGACTGTTTTTATTCATGCAAATTGATACTCATGTTTCTGTTTCTACTAACGCTCACACTTGCACACCTATTCACTTGGCACTTTCTCAACAATGCAAATGTCTGATGTTTCTTTGCAGAATGAACAGCCTGGCACAGGCAGCAGTACAATCATAAATCCCCCGCCTCTCAATTAGAGACTGAACCAAACCTAATGGTGGGATTAAGAATCAGTTGATTTACACCAAGACAAAAAGTCTGTTCCCTCGGTAACCATTATAATTGACTGAACTGAATGGGTATATTGAATAAATGAGTGACTTTTCTGTTCACTACATGCTTCAGTAAGACATGATTAGACAAGACAGGGGAAGCAAACATAGAGAAAGGCTGAACTTGGCGTATCTCAAGCTGACAGATTGGTTTTTGCCTTGTGGCATGGCACTCGAAACATGACGCCGGCAACTGTAGCCGTTAGCGCTTCCTGCATGAAAGAGCTACCACAATCAGCTACAGCACGCTTTTAAGAGTTGTGGTTCTAAGCAGAGACTATTGTTCAATGTCACCATCTCCAGGGTATTACAATTCCTACAGCAAGCCATGGCACCATTCCCATTGTCCTTGAGAAGTCCTAGTTTTGTTTAAGCAAAGATCTCACTCCTACTGATCTTTAGCTTCTCACCATCATTCTTTTATGAATAAAAGAGTTCTTACACAATTCAACATATGGAAATACTAAATTATGTAGTTCTTTAAATGTATTTGTATTTATATGTATTTAATCTATTCATTGGTGGTCACTCTACTGATGCTTAGCCTGATATCTGTTGAGTGTCGCAAAAAACTGCTTTCATTTGCTATTTAATTGTATTATCTGGAGGTCATTGTCACTGTCAACAGTCACTCATGTAGGGCAAAAGCTCAGCACTATGGCTGCATTTTCTGGAAATCCAGATGGTGTAAAGTTTCAGGGAGAGTCAGTGGCTGCTGGCCTGACCTGGAGTGATGATTCTGGGCTGCATGTTGCAGCTTTTCTCCCCTCATTCTGTCGCTTTTTATAAAGCAGGCTGCTTGGTTTTGCTTAACAGCATACTGTTTACAAGTTGAGGGCTTTTAGTGTTTGATCAGAAGGTCATTTCGTATTAATGTCAGAGTGACATAGAAGGCCTGCATTTTCTTCTATGAGGCAACATTTCCTCCAGTTTCTTCATCTTCTTTCATCTATGTTTGTATACACAGTGTGTGTCTGCTGTGCAGAAGTCTTCAGCCACCCTTCCTTTTTCCTAGTTTTTGATAGGAAAATGAGAAACGGGTGCAGCAATGGCCTCCTTTATTCCTCAACATAGCCAGGCTTTCTTTTTTTAAGAAAAAATGTTTAACTAGTATTCAGGAATACTTCTCTAAGTTACTGAAGGACATTCAAAGCTCCTTTTTGGATTTTGGCTGCCTTTTTTCCCCCATTCTTTATCAAGATGATCCCACACTGCCTCAACAATATTAAGGTAGTGTTTCATTGTCTGTTTTTTTTATCCTGGTATGCTTTTATTGAAGCGAGTTTGAGATTATTGTCGTGCAAAAATACTATCTGGAACATGCCATTGAGACACGTTCCAGATGATATTACATGTTGGATCTAAATCTGACTATATTTTTCTGCGTTCATAATTGCATTCATTTTGACAAGATCTCCAACATCGCTGGCTAAAATGCAACCATGACAGAGCCTCCAAGGTGTTTTACAGATGGCTGTAGATACTCACTGTTGTACCTCTCTCCTGACCTCATCCGTACACGTTGACAGAAATTTGAACCAAAAATGTCACTTTGAATTCATCACCCCATCAGAACTCTTGCCACTGATTTAATTTGGCATAAATACAGCCACACTTCCATTTCAACCTCACCTTTGATGAGGCTTGAGAGAACAGTAGACGGATCAACTGAAGGGCTATATCCATCTCTTAGATCCTGTGTCAGGTCTTTGATGGATTGCTTTCTATTTCTTAAAGACATGACCTTCATATACTCTTCACCTGCTCTTGATTGGTTGTACAAAATGACTATTTCATGTCAACTAAAGAAATGGCACAGGCTACTAGTAACAAAGTGCTTAAAGATACACTTTAAAAAGACTGCTTGAAGTTTCTTCTTTGCTATGTTGTCTATTTTTGTACATACGATACAGGTTCATCCCTTGAGTTGGGTACCTCTTTATGCTTGAAAAATATATATTTGAGTGTTAAGCATCTTAACAAAAAGAAAAAAAATCCTCTGAAAATGGTCAGGTACAAGGACTGGACTGAAAATGAGTGAAAAAGCAACAAACATTCCAAAACTTTGAAAGACCTTCAGAAAGCCTGGAGAACTGTTGTTCACTGGACGAAACTAGGGGTGGCTCAAGACTTTTGCACATTACTGTATATGTTTTGTGTTCAATATCCACAGGCCAGAGCCGGTGCAAAGAAGTTTCGGAAAGTAACACTGACGGTCTCACCGAAAGGCATCGTTATCACAGACACAGAAACCACAGACCTCATAGAGAATGTCTCCATTTACAGGTACGGCCATCGCATTTCTATCCTGAACCTGTTGGTCCACAACAGTGATTGATTACTAAGATTTTTTTTAATACTCTTGTTCCCCAGAGAACTTCCCTTCCCTCATTTTCCTGTACTTCAATTTTTTGCCCTTTTCTTAAAAACAAAAAATCCCAAAAACTGAACAATCAGCATGGTTCATAAAAATTGACATTCATTATCAGAAACAGTTCCTCTCAGGCTCTACTGTACTGCTACAATGTACTCTCTGTCTAACTGTGCTCTAGATATAAACTGATTAAAGTGGAAAACATTATAGTGGACTACAACCTTGCAGAGGTACCAGCATTGGTTCAAACTTCCCAAGCAGCGTGTGCATGTAATATACTAGTTTGCTATCAGAGTTAGCCGATACACCTGCAGGGATTTGGAACTGAATGAGACAAACACTCCAGCAGAGAACTCATTTGTACCAAACTCAATTTAAATTCAAATTCACTAAAATTATTATTTTTTTAATTCATTTTACAAGAGGTCATTGGTTTGTCTTATCCCCTCTTTCTATAATAATTTGCTGCTATTTTATTTCTCCTTTATTTTATCCTTTGTTCAGCCATTCTTTGATATAATACTCTTAATATAAGTCTTGTTGCTGTTGTTGTTATGATATGGCTTCATTTTTTGACCTTCTATGTAGGTCATTTTCCCTTCTGTCCATTGCCGTGCTTCTTTTGCAGCATTAAACTAAGCAGTTTTCTGCTCAGAGCTGTGGTGAGTGGGTCAATTAGGGGTACATCACAAGATGATTATCTGTTGTATCACATCAATTTTGGACTAAATGTTGAACAATAGGGTAATGAAATATCTTCTTTTGCCTGGCACCAAAGGGTAAAGGAAACCAATTACAACAAAACATAACAGAAAGTGGCTAAATCAGCCCATAATTTCACAATAAGTGCATCCCTCATGTGAACAGAAGCTAGGTTTCACTCTAACAAATCAGAGTGTGTGTGTGTGTGTGTGTGTGTGTGTGTGTGTGTGTGTGTGTGTGTGTGTGTGTGTGTGTGGGTAGCATTCTGTAATACAGCCTTGGCCTCTTGTTGTTTGGGATTACAGTCTAAATATCATATGGCTGGACTGTGATTACAGAACAAGCTTTGATAAAAGACGATGTGTTTGAAGGTGAATCGATGTGTGTGCAGGTGTAGCTCTGGATCCCCTCTTGATCCACCTTATCAGCAGTAACAGACCACAGGCTAGTGAAACCTGCCTCGTCTTTGATCTCCTTCTTTTCTCTCCTCTTTTCCTTTATACTGTCTAAGGAAAAAAAAAGCTCCTATTTATGCTCATTATCTTAAACTGAGCTTTGAACACAGGACAACAGAGTTCTTAGACTGAAACTCGAGCTTCGATTGTTTGCCGAGATATGATACAGGACTCAGTGAAGGACCACATGCCGTGCTCGGGTTGACTGAAGATTTTATGGAACCCCACCCCCACCTCCACTTCCTTGTAGCCACCCCACCCCCTCGTATCTTTTTTTTTTTTTTTTTTGCTGCACATAATCCATTTGTTGGCCAAGAAAGCAAGCAGAGTGTGAAAGAATTCAAATCAAGCAAATCAAGACTGTGTTTAGAGTGCGTAGCATCCACAGGGGGAGTTAGATACACAAGTTATGTGTACATATGTCCACACTTTGTGACTTTGTGGATGTAACCTGCACAGTGAGTGTGTATGTAAACTTGTGTGTTTGTAGAATTAATTTTGGATTCACACTGGGTTAAAGCCAGCCTGTTTCCCCTCAGGGGAAGCTTAGTGGGGGTTAGAAAACAGACAGGAGGGCATTGTGCATGGCATGGAAAATAGGATCCCAGCACCCATAACCCTCCCACTGCACCCATCCACACCCAAAACAATGCAATACTAACCTGTATGGGTGGAATTTCACTTTTTACAGTTTCAAAATAGCCAATAGCTTTTGATGTTAAAGGGTTAGAGCTTATTGTCATAAGCTTGATGTTCCAGGATTTGCAGAGCTGCTGTTGTCTAACTGCAAACAGCGGCATAACCCTGGATTGTAATGATAATACCCGTCAGTAGTTTACAGATCGGTGATGGAGCTTATATATAAGGAAGGAAGTGATATGATATGATTGATATGATAATGAAGCAGAGTTCCTGTTAGGGAGAAGTCAAATTTTTCTGCTTCTAACAAAGCACAATTTTCAAAAGTGCACATTAGGTGGGCTCCAAAGATTCACCAGATCCAGTTAATCCAAATTAAATGTCAGAAGCTATTTGGTGTGACAGCTTTCTATCAAGAAGAGCCAGGTTAGCTGTTTACCTCCAGTCTTTATGCTAGGCTAAAGTTACAGCTTCTTGTTCTTAGATCAGTCTCTAACAAAGGATTCCTATAGATGTTTGAACCGTAATCAGTGCTGAAGAAATCTTCCTGTGTTTAGTTCAAAATATAAGTAATCTGTGTGTTTTGTGTTACTGGGTCATGCACAGATTTGCAGATCTGCAGGTGTAGGAGAAGATGTGGGAGTTTGATTAATGCAGCCACTTACTGGATCAGTAGACAAGTGGCTGGTTCGTTTTTGAGTACTGACACTCTGGAGAGGCCTTTATGTGCGCCGGTGTAGAAAAATCCAGATATTCAACGCCAATACAGTAATCGATGTTTGTCATCCTTTTAAAAACATGCTTTGTTTAAAACATGCAGACAGAAGATGCTCCCAGCAGAGAACATTGTGAGGGTGTTCAGACTCCATCTGGGCTAGCGTTGCTGATTCATATTCTGACAAGAGCTCTCAGGGAACAGCCAGCATATCAATCAGCAGAGCATACGGGTCAGAAAAGCAGAGCTGAAATGCAGACTGACAACACACCTTGTAATGATACACGTGGTTCTGACATGTGTCTGTACGATCTCTAAGCTGAGGATATTGGGTGTAACAGTGATCCTAAACATTCATGGAGACATGGCTTCTTTCATCATTTTATTTAAAGATGAAAAAACCCACTGCTTTTTCTTTCTTTTTTATAGTATTGCTAAGTTGAAAATTGAACAGAAGTTATCACTGTTGAATTAAGCAGCAGACCTGTTTCAGTCAGCGTATGAAAGGTTTGAGGCTTTGATGTGTGAAGATCTATTCAGGCTTTGTACTGTAAATATTTAAATAATATCCAATGACGTTCTCTCGCTGCCTCACAAATACCGGTGCGGTACACAGTAAGAAGATCAAAGGCTTGCAGTCCAGACAGCCCCTTTGGAGATATGATGGCGACTGACAGCTCAGCTTCTGTTGTTCAAGCTTAGCGGGAACTATGCGATACTGTCAGGTTGGTTTTTTTTCCTGTTGTTCTTTAAACCTGAAGGCCTGTATTGGAAAATAAGATCCACTGCGCCGCACGTCTGACACTTATTATCCTGTAATGACTAAAAAGTTTTCTTAAGAGTTTTTATAAATAGAAGAAACGTGTCTTTGGCACATGGATTAAATCTTACATGTACATTCACTGGACAGAGGCCTCTTTGTTGATGAATACATGTAACTATATGTATAAGTCTGACTTTTATGCTGTTGACAGTAGAAGTCAATGTGGCATGTGCTTCTTAATATGATTATTGTGATATTGGGATTTTGGACAGTCCAGTGCAAAATAATAATATTAGTAATGTGAATCATAACTGATGCACAAACAGTTTTGGGGTCACTGACTTGCAAGACATGCACTGCGTGTGCACTGACCTATTTTAATATTTCGCTTACAGCACATTGTTCTGGGAAAGCTAAAGACTGACTGTGAAAATGTTTTATTTTTTTCATAATAAGGCTAAAAAAGGTTTTAAAAATATGTCAAGAGCAGCTAAAGCTTAGATACTGCCATTAAATAAAAATAAAATGTCAAATGCTGCAGTTACTGATTTAAATTCTATTCATAGAACTTTTTCTGAGGTTAGCAGATCAGTCCTTAAAAAGCAAAAGAAAGAAACGAGAAAAATGCAAAAAACACAACACGCCTGATGTAATTTTTAGCTGCTATCGCCTTCAGGGTCTGCTTCCTTTAAGCCCCAGTTATTTTTAGATCACCCCTTCTGATCAGTTGCATGTGCGCTGGATGTCCGCCACTAGATCAAAATAATGATTCTTCAAAATAAATCTCATTTTGCGGGAGCCAAATCTGGCAAGTAGGGCAGTAGCTTAGTAGGGATTGTGTTGGTGTGGCCAAACAACTGTTTTTGAGTGTGGTGTGAATAGTTGCAACATGATGAAAGCATGGTACGAGACAATTTTTGGGTCACTGACAGGCTTAACTTGCATAATCCAAAATAAAGATTGCTATGCTCTTGGTTGTGCTCCGTTTGTTACCTTTAGACACAGGTCAGGATAATTTCTCATCAGTAGTGTTTTCTGTACTTGCAAGTCGATTGCGAAATAGCAGATGCAGTGTAGCGGTAAGAATGGAAATCTATGTTTGCTAGAAGCGATCCAGATGTGCACAAGGAGATGCCTTGAAGGGAGCATATTATTTAGTAAATAAAATTCTGAGAACACAAAGAATTATGAAGGCATGTGGATGCTTAAATATTTAAAATAAGTGAAATTCATCTTGTGTAAAATATATGAAGTTAATTAAAAGCACATACTATCTCAATAGGATGATAATTGAGTTGTATTGAGTAGTACTTGAGTTTCGTCATTCTTGTTTTCTAATCTTAAATAGGTCAACCCTTTCAACTTTTCCCTGCTCATTTTTATGCAATTACGGCCCCAAATATAAGTTCGCGCTTCGGGAGAGGGGGTAATACGCAAAGCTGGGTATCCTGGGCATTGCTATGTGGGTCATGCATCAGTGGTGCAAGCCAGCAAACAATCTGAGATGGAGTAGTGAGCGCTGTTGATTTCATGGTTGTTGTTTGATCGAATACATAACTTCATTTTTAGCACCACTACCCACCCAACCCCCACCTCTGAATTGGGGTAGCAAATGAGTGTCAGCCATCCACAAATCCCCTTTGCACGTAGTTTACAATTTGCTCTAATGATGGCAGATTATACAGCCATCAACTCAGAGCTTTCTCTTTTCTCCAGTGATGATGATGACAGCATGAATATAAAAAATAGCAACATAGCTCGTGTCGAAGAGTTCTGCTATCGGCTTTATGGAAGGAGCCCCTAATTGTCCTTGTAGTGCTGTTTTTAATTATAGTGAAAAAGGTCAAGTGCAACGTTTACCGTGGCTAATTTGCATATCTATTTAAGGCAACAAACAAATGACGCACGCTGCCGATTCAGGTAACCATCGCATATACACAGAGTGACTGAAGATCAATACAGCTTCTAATAGCCTGTGTAAAATCTGACAAAGGAAATTCACTGCTTTTGTTGCCTCAGTGAGCCCCAAACAAGCTGCTGTGGGAGAACAAAATGGCTTGGTGGACTTTGTCTGGATTGGGTTTTAGATAACTATTGAAAATCACAGGGCCGAGGCTGTGGCTGGATTTGCAGACAATTGGATTTCTTGAAAACCAGATAGTGGATTCAGTGTGACTGCTGGGAATGAGGTCTCAAATGCAATACAATCACAGTGGAGATCAATTTGTAATCTTAGACTTTCTATTTTCCACTGATGGTAGAAATTTAAATGCTTCAGAGGAAAAAATATATATATACCCACATGATGGGGACATTTTTCTGCGGTTGATAAGAATTCGCAATATATTATGTAACTGTCAGGGAGGTTATTTCAGAAAATCTTCAGCAGATTTCCTGCAGTTTCAAATGCCTTCCTGCAGTGGTTGATGCTCTCAGATAAAAAAATGAGGAACAGCAAACAGTTTATCTGAATATAATATTTTTTTAAAAAGTCCTTTACCCCTGAATAATTCTATCATTTTCATCACAAAAGTGTAAATAATGCTCCTTTGCTGAAAATTCAGGGTTAATCGACAAGCTCAGTCTTTAAAGGTAACATTTTATCAACATTCGAGTTCGGCATGAAACACTTTCTCTCCATCCAAACTCTGAAGTGCCTACAGCTTCAAGCACAACTCACTTATGGATGTCACTGCTGCTCATTTGTCTTTGCCCAGCTGTGGGACTCAATCAGCATATTATTCATATCCATTGCTCTGGTGCTGTGACTGGTGTGCTCATGCATATGCAAAAAGTAAACCGCAAAGTTACAGCCTTAATTGACATGTAGGCAGTGCAGCTTACCTTGATCTACGAGGTTTCATTCACAGTGCGGACTAGTAGGTAATGTTGTGTACTTTGTGTCGCATGTGTGACACTAAAGCCTTCCTATTTGTACTTTTTCGTGTATCATTCATTATAAATGGATGTACACTCATGGCAAAATTCAAACTCTTAAGGTTTTACATATCGGAACATAATTAAAAAACATTATATGGTCCGCACTGGGTCTGAAAATTAACTAAATACAACCTTAGATGAGCAGAAACACATGAGATATTACACCCTTACCGCTTCCATAGCAATTAAGACTGTAAGTAGCAGCTGCGTGCTGCTGATCAAATGTTAACTGGTTATCAGTAAATGTTAGCATCTCCTATAAAATCAGAAATTTTGGTAGTTCTGTGGTTTAGAACATTCAGCTTTAGCTTTGTTAATACAATGCCAAGGAGGGAAGACTTCAGCAATGAATGAACTGTTGGTGATCATCAATCTGGGAAGTGTTTTAAGGCCAATTATAAAAACAGGCCATCATTCTGCAGCGAGAAGGAATATTCCCAAGTGGAAAACATTCAAGAAAGCTGCATTGGAAAAAAACAGAAGACTTCTGGATAGACGAGATGTTTGCACAGCACTATGTTTGGTGAAAACCAAACAGAGCATATCAGCACAAACATGTTACACCAACTGTCAAACACAGTGGTGGAGGGGTGATGATTTGGTCTTTGGGGACCTTTTAGTTATTACTGATCATGAAGTCCTCTGCATACCAATGTCAAATGTGTCAATAATAAGTCAAATGTGAGGCAATCTGTCTAATGGCTAAAACGTGGCTTACATATGGCCATACAACAGGATGATGATTCAAAGCAAAGGGACAAATTTATAACCAAAAATACCCCAAATCAAGTCATTGCAGTAGCCCAATTAAAGTCCAGACCGCAACCTCATTGGAATGCTTTGGCAAGTCCTTAGGTTTGCTGTGTATAAACAAAACCTAATGAACTGAGAAAACATTGTAAAGGATGGTCAAAATTCTTCCACAGCAATGTGAGAGACAGAAAATTATTGCTTTAAGTTATCGTTATCAAATGTGGTTCTACTAAACTACTAAATCATCTTCGTTTTTCCTGCATTCCTTCTGCATTTTGGCTCCATTTTTGTCAAATAAAAATAACATGGTGTTTTATGTCATGTGTTGTTAATGATCTTAGTTTTATTTACCTATTTTTAAAACCTGGTAAGGACTAGATATTACTTTATTTATGTGCTTGGCTGAAATATGTAGAGCCTTTGTAACTGACTGTATATCATGTGAATTGATGGAACTGCTACACTGCAATAAAATCCTGTTCTCTCTCATATTTCTCTCTTTCCTTTAAAACAGAATCTCATACTGCACAGCAGATAAAACTCAGGATAAGGTCTTTGCATATGTTTCACAGAGTCAGTTCAACGAGACTCTTGAGTGCCATGCCTTTCTCTGCCAAAAGAAGAAAATTGTAAGTCTGCAGTGCCGTGGGTTTCTTGTATATACCTGGATTTAGACTGATGTGTTGGATATATGTTGTCAGACTTTAGGAGGATGCTCAGTTTGTTTCAGGACCAATAATTATGAACTCTAAGTGTAACATAAGAATGGGTGGCGTGTGGCTCCATCTTGTGGCTGTTTCCTTAGTGATACTTGAGATTTACTTCTGTGGTTAGTATTAAAAAAATACTGCTTTCTGACAAATCTATCACAATAGATACACTCTTATGCAAAGAAAAAGTTAAAATATCTTCTTTATCACAAAATCAAATACCCATTATTAAAAATAATTTAATTTCATCTAGTTTCTCTGTGTTATTCTCTTTCCAGGCTCAGGCTGTAACATTAACAGTAGCCCAGGCCTTTAAAGTGGCCTTAGATCTTTGGGAGATTGCTCAGGAAGGTAAGTTCCCTGAACAAAGAGGAAATGACTCTGGAACTTACGTTTATACTCAGCATTTTGTGGACATTAAATTGTCTGTGCATAAATGAAAGTTTCAAGTATAGTTGGAGTCTGTTATTTTCTAAGAGTTTGAAACAGCTTCTTGGTTCACAGACAAAAGCAAGAAGGCCAGGACCTGCTGTACGTGCGCAGCAAGCAATGGGCAGACGGAGGCAGCGGACGCTCAGTGTGTCCCAGCAGGTAACTTCATTTTATTGTGTCCTCATCCATATTGTGTCCCCGCATATCGAACAAGACATAACTGTATTAGTGAAAGGTAAAAGACAGCAGAATGTTAAATACTGTGTTAACTGTGAAGTTGTTTTAATGTGATTTAACAAATTATCTAGTTCTCAATATTAGAAATAGCAACAAGTCCAAATTAAATTCATTTTCTTTGCTTTTTAACAAGTCTGGCACATCACCATAAAACCGGGGGGGAGATTATAAAAATTCTGTTGAATTCACAATCAATATTGTGCCAAGGTGTGTTATATTAATTAATAATTACAACATAAAGACCCTACAGTATTAAAAAGGAAACCCCGACAACCAGACAACCCCCGACGAGCAGGCACTTGGTGACAGTGGGAAGGAAAAACCCCATTTTAACAGGAAGAAACCTCCGATAGAATCAGGCTAAGAGAGGGGCAGCCATCTGCCATGAGTAGTTGGGGGTGAGGGGAGAAGAGAGCAGATAGAACCCGGGTTTAATAGTTGCTAATGATTAAATAGTAGTGATGTATAAACACACAGAGAGTTAAAAGAGGTGAGTGAAGAAGAAACACTCAGTGGATCATGGGATAGCCTGCAAGCCTGTTGCAGTATAACAATGAGATGCTTCAGGGTAATCTGATCCAGCCCTAACTCCAAGATTTATCAGGATTCGACTTTTTCTTTCTACTGTTGAAAACTTTTGAAACGCTTACTACAAATAAGCCTGCAGTCTGAGAGAGAAGTTCTGTGCTAGGATAATGAGGTACTATGAAGTCTTTAAGATATGACAGAGGCTGATTACACAATCTGCTTTCCAAAATAAGGTCATGACTTGAAAATCTTTATTATTGCTCTAATTTTATTGAAAATAGTACAAATACAACTTTTTAAATGTTGAAAAAATGTGATTTTTAATGAATCCGAGGCAGGCAACATGTTTCAGAAGATAAAAGCGTTTTTAGGGATGTGCAGCATTACGTTTTCCTTTTTAAATCACTCTGTGTTTGGGCGCAGACGACACATTAAAACAGCTGAAAGTTTTGATCTAGGCTGCTCAAGCTGTTTGGGGCCTTCATGTCAGAAAATTAGAATTCATCATGCGTCACGGCTGACAGTTTCCTGCAGTTTCCACTTTTTACGCTCTGCTAACTGGCAGCTGTCTTTTTGAGTCGCACAATATTTACTGTCGAGACGAGAAAGTGGCGTCAATCTTCTCATCTATCTCTCAGCAAGAATGCCAAAGAGTGTCTATTCTCTTAAACCCTTTTTTCAGGTTTGTTGCTTCTGTAATCAATTCTCAAGATCCGCGTTTGAAATCAGTCTGCACACGGGGATCTGATTAATGCTGGGAAAATAATATGCTGTGTTATTGAAGTGAAGCGATAATAAGATGCTGATTTGTTTCATCCGCACAAACCTATCCGTTTCAACTCATCGTGACTAAGTGGAAATCACTGCAAGTCAGTCCTATGATGATCTTAAATGACCTTTTCAGTTATACTAAGTCTATCACAATTTTGGCTTTTAAGTTTTTGATTGACACTGCTCTCTCACAAATGTATCAGTCATCTGTCACTTGTCATACACGCTCAGGGCAAATCACCCTTCAGGGAAACAGTGAATTTTAAGCGCCTTCTAATGACTGTGACATTTATAGGTTATTCTTTATAGGTCAAAATGTTTTCCTGACCTCAGAGGGTCAGCAGACTTACAAAACGAGACTTAATCATCCATTGTTAGTCGCGGCCTGGTTTTCCCAGATTCTTTCAATTAAAATTTGCTCTGCTCCCAGTGGTAGTGGCCTGAGGACATAGAGAAAGTCTGGTGTGAAAGCCTCAAGGACCTTTGGAATAACTACGCAGACAGATGCATTAATGTTTTACAGAGATGATTTAAATTGTGCCTGTCATGGAGAAGTTTTTGAGTGCCACAGGCTGGAGATGTTGTTTCACCTCTTTGAAATCTGACAGCTCTTCCTTTCCTTTGCGTCCGGATGTGTCTGTCCTTTACCTCTCATCTGCCTGTCTCTACTCTGCCCTCTATGTTTCCTTCTTCCTGCTCTTTTGCTTTATTGTTTGGCAGCCTCTCATAAGCACCTGCCATCTCTCATAGATCCAGAGACACATAAGCCCAGTGGGATGGAGGAAAAGCTTCGGAGGCCCTTATTCTCTGCTTCGCTCAGCTCGCCCTCACCTCGTAGTAACCCTACTCGAAGGCGACCAATCAAACATGACTCTTGGGTAGGTCAGCTTTAAAGTGTTACATCATTGCTAGCTTGCGTGCTCTTGCTACCTGTCAAATACAGAATTAATGTCTGCTCCTTTTGCCTATAAATCCATGCCTGCTTCAGCATTTGGGTACTGCACATTTCAGAAGTTCTCCACTCCTAATATATCACTATGTCTGTTAAATCCTCAAACCAGCTGCTTTTAAATACTGGGGTTAGTGGTTAGTGACATTGCGCTTTTGTGGTTGCTGCTCCAAGGCTTTGCAATAGCCTTCCTTTCACAATCAAATAATCCCACTGTTAAATGTTCATACATAATATTTGTTTTTAGTTTTTTAAACCATGTTTATTTCATGTAAAATTTATCATTTCAACTTAGTTTGATGTTGTCTTTCTATTAAATGTGCTTTAAACTTTTAAACCGAATAAGTGGACTAGAATGATGAATATGGTCATATATCCATGGACCTCTTCTTTACATGAGCCAAATTTAAATGGAAAAAATTGAAACTTTAAATTTCAGTGGAAAAAAAGATTAAAATGTAAAAGTGGGAAGGAATAGTATAGCATGATTATTGGTCATATCCTGCCATTTATCCTCTATAAAACGTAATAAATATGTGCAAAGTATAAAATAATGGGAGCTAATTTTATACATTTATTGCACATCTGTATATAATCTGGTGTTCAGTTGCAGATTTTCAACACTAGGTGACACCATACCCATACGAATGTCTCCCATATACACTGATCTCATACACGGAAATCCCGCTGATGCACATTTTTCCCTGATGTGCCTTTCCTCTCAGTGAGAAATGATCCTGTGGCTGAACGAGACCTGGTTCAAGCTGGTTCAAGTTCATTTTATTGCTGCAGTTGTGCAGTTTATCATCTGTCCGTGCTTATTAAGTGGGGTATTTTTCCAGGGTACTTCCTCATATTGTACTAAATATCTATTACTGTGACTGTTAATTGAGTTGCATCTGTGACTGGATTAAGAGAATCTATTTTCACAGATTGATTCCTCAGTAGCAGTTCATTTATGTGAATAAGCAAACAGGCAAGCACCTGGCTCAGTGCAGATGCACAAATGCTTGAAAGTACAGAAGGAGCAGGATTATAACTTGAAGCACTTTGAACGTGGACTGAGTCCTATTGTTGTGTCTCAACAGGATGTGGAAGATGGACTTGAGGATGCATTCTCAAGGTGAGCTTTGTTCGTGACTGTAATTCTGCAGAGCGCTAATGAGAATAAAATCAGATTTTCTTGTTTTATGCACACTAATATTTAAATACTACCATAAGAAACAAATGTATTCAACACATTGTGACAATGAATATTGCCTTTTGATTACAGTTGAATAGCTCCTGAGTTACACTGAGGGCCTTTGAGTCTTTGGATGAAATATCTTTTCTTTTGAAAACAGATATTGAAAGTCACATAGAAACTGAAATAAGCAGGCGAATGTGATAAACATGATTTTCCAAGGTACCTTGGTCTAAAAGATGGCATTGAAACTGGTGAAATAACTTGATATTCAAAGCAGCTGTCTTAAGATATTTTCACAGTAGCATGCAAAGGTTTGGGTGGGCATAATCAAAATTTCTTACTGTGAATAGTTGAGTGGGATTATCTGATCTCCAAAGAGTTGTGTGAAAAATTCAAAGCTTTAGAAATGATCTGACTCATGCAAAAGACCTTCTGCAAGTTACAAGTTACACACTCTGGAGTTATGCTGCGCTGTTTCACTTTGTAGTGAATCCTCCACTAATATGACCGTTGTGTGAGAGGCACCTTTCCACCAAATTTAGTGTCAGAATTCTGCAAATTTGTCTTTTATTTTATTCAACCTTATTTTTACAGGTAATCCCACTGAGACTTAGTGTCTTATTTACAAGATAAACGTGTTTCAATTAAAAAAAAAAGAAAAAAGAAAATAGTGCTACTACTGTATAGTAATAATATAGTAATTATCATTTAACTGTTCTTTTACCTCTGTGAACTTGAGGAGACCAGATTCTGTTGTCTTGAAAAGAAAATATGTTCCCTTTCGTGCTTCTTGTAGAATCTCAGCTTCTCCGAGGCTGTTCAGATACTCTTTTGCCTTATTTTTCATTTCATAATTTATGAAATGTTTTAAAGGGGTGATAGCTCTGGACTCCAGGCTGCACACCCTGGTTCTCTTCCTGTTGAGCCGCTCTTTTGAAGTACATGCAGAATGGTGTTATCAGCATTTTTGATGAAATATTCCAGGCTTTTCCTGAAAAATGTATACACCACAGCATGTGTTGCTCCAAAAACATTTATATGCTGTTACTGCTGTACACACCAATGCATTAAAAAAAACTTTCCAGTCTTTCATCAGCCCTCACCCAGCTTCTGTGAAATGTGTTGTTGACACATTAAAAGGAGGGATTTATTTCCTTATTTATTTGTGTGTTTATTTTTAATGACATGTGGCGTTTAATTTTGTTTTGAAAATCTGTATTATTATTTAGCTCTATACGCAATGGCCAACCTTTTTTGTAAAGGTGAATTTGACTGAATTTTTATTCATAGGTTTCCATAAATATACATTATTTGTTTTATAGGGCATCACTGTACAACATGCACCCTTAAAGCTGTAAGCTTGTTCTAAACATCAAGCATAATTGACTCATAGAGATCATGTGGAACAAGCAACCTCCTTTGATTGCTACAAGATCACCACTTTCCCAGACAGAGGTTTCAGGAGCACACCAGCTCAAACCAGTGCGGGAGCTCCACAATGCATCAACACCTTGTCACTGAACTAGGATTACGATACAGCGCTTACACCACGATGTGTGACAGCTTGTAAAATTGACTTTTTATAGGTGTAGGATACCTGCAGAGACAGGAATGTGAGTCTCGGGTGAAATGTGAGACATGAGGGATATGAAAAAGTCACACGTTAATGTGACAACTGATGTGAAGGAATACCCCCAATTCTGCCTGATTGTTACAAATCCTTGCATGCAGATACCCAATTTAAAAATAGTGTATCTTTTAAATTAAATATATAAACATAGTATATTTCACCTGTTACTACTTAATGCACTTGATCACTCTGAAAACTCGCAGCTCACAAAATGTATGATTGTCTGCATGACTCTTAATTTCGTTGTGTAGCCAGCTTTCAGTCTCTGAGACTGTGTATACATCCTACAGCTCTGTAAAATCTGTCTACAAAGTCAGAGAACAGCTACAGAAAGATGGTGCTGCACACATTAAAGACATTGCGCTCGTTAAGCTGTGCTGCCTGTGGCTAACGGAAGTTTTGGGGAAAGCAAATGAGTAAATTCGACGAAGGGATTTTCTGCATGTGTGTTTCTGTGGAAGCTGCTTTTACATGCGTGGAGAGCAGAAAAGGAAAGCAGGTCATCACTCAGGCACTTCTCAGCAGGGATGGGGACAGTTGTCAAATAGTGGGTAGGTGAAACTCTAGATAAACGTCTACTAAATCTGACGTCCTGGGAGTGGCACTAAAGGAGTTTGAAGTGTTTAGAGTGAACGTGCTCTGCAGGGGTCAGCAAGGATGTCAAGCGCTGCAGTTGTGGTACAGCACTGGTGAATGAGACGCGGCCTGAAACTCTGAAGAATCTGGGTGACATTGAGTTTTCATGGCTGTCACACCTATTTAATGTTGTATGTGACTTTGGGAATGCCTTTAGATACAACCGAGGAGGGTTTTATTTGTGGCTCTTCGTATGTTCAAGGAGAACTCTGTTTTAAAACGTCTCTGCTGTTTATCTACTCTCTAGCCCTTTGGTTCCCAAAATGTATGTTTAACTGCCAAAGATTTACTGTTAAGTAGAAAAAGCTCTTTTGTGAACTGAGTGGTTTCTGTTATATTTCAGGCCTGCTTATACAACAGAATGACTGGGTTTGCCTCAAATGTTAGTGAAGGTAGTCTCTGCCTTTACAGCTACCCTTTAAAAAATCCAGAAACTATTCTAGTGGTCTTAAACCATGTCTTTATATATTATGAGGTGTCAAAACTCATCATTAAGGGTACTGGGGAAGCCGTCAGGGTCGTCTTTAAGGGGCAAAGAATTTTGCTAGTACCCATTAAAAACGTTTTTGGTGAAGTATTTTACTCTTGCTTTACTCTTGCTCTAACTTTGTATAGCTCATAACATTAGGTGTTTGTATAGGAATTGTCTGTTTGGTTTGGGGTTGGGTGGTTGTCTGAATCTCTTGCACACACTGCAGTAAGTTTCCATCACCAGTGCCTCTTCAGCTTCCTGGTATATCTATGCGTGCGCTTGTTTAAATATAGCATCGGGGTCACGTTATTGGTCTGCGGTTTGGCAATTCAGTTTAAATCTCTTTAATCCACTTTGGTGTAAGCAGCAGCATGACCTCTAGGGGTCACTGGTAGCACTTTGTAGTTTTGCGAGTTGAGCTGCAGCTGATACCGTTAAACCAACTTCAGTAGAATAATTTTAATTAACACTTAGCTGCACAGGTCAGGATTTAGACCTCATTAAAAAATCTATTTTTAGCAGAGCCAAAAGTGCTCACAACTATTGACTTCAGCTTCAGTTCAAACTGGTTTAATTAAAATGATTCATTTATGGTATTTAAAATTTCATAAATGAACGGCGACCCTGTGTTACAGCCGATTTAGCACTGAAGTACTTCTCCCCACTGAAATCTGAAGGGTTCTTTTTAGTTTAGTTTAGGCTTGTTTGTGGGGCAGCTCACTTCACAATGTGTGCATGTACACTCCTGATGCCCTTTACCGGAACAGTTCCTATCACCTTTTCTTCACTTATCCTAACCTTTAGCACTGATTCACTTTGTCTTGATTTCTTCTGTCTTGTATCTGGCACGCAGCAACATGGAAACAGAGGAGACAGACACTGGTAAGTGATGTGATAAATGTATTGTTTTAGGACAGTACATGCTTGCTCTGCCTCCTTATTTCAGGCCTAATGTGAAAAATCCTAACTATTATTATCCCAGTCCAATCTGCTCTCTGCAAGGGGAAAGCACTGGCCTCTGGACGTATGTGACTCCACTGATAAGAAAATGATATTACGCTCAGAGCCACATTAAAGTTTTTGTTTGTTTGTTTGTTTTTACTTGAAAAGATTATTTTGATTTCAATTAGGATTAAACTATTATTTAAAATCTGTTTTTCAATATTAATTTTAATATTACATTTCCTTGGTTAGTGGTCCAGCCCAATGTAAATCTTAACATCTTCATCTCAACCTCCTGTCTTTTTGTTGGTGCCACCATTACCAAACCATACCTCAACAGGTTTCACTTTGTAAACCGTCCCTTTCACTCTTGCTGCTATCCTTCTGTCACCTGTCTCCTCTCATTCACACACGTATTCCATCTTGCTTTTACTGGCTTTCATTCCTCTTCTCTCCAGTGCACACCCCCACCTCTCCAGACTCTCTCCCACCTGCTTCTTACTCTCACTGCAGATCACAGTGTCATCTGCAAACGTCATAGCCCACGGAGACTCCTGTCTGACCTCGTCTGTCATCCTGTCCAACACCAGTGCAAAAAAAGTGACTGAGTGAATGATATAATTTTAATCATTAAGTTGCACATCAAAGCCATTGGCGTGCTGAAAAATGTTTATTGTTAAAATATAATATACCAAATAAATGAGGGTAGCGCTTCTGTTCAATTTTGGAGTTGGCTTTTGTTTTCAGTGTTGCCAGTGTTTTTCCTAACAACATCAAAAACACTGAATTTTCTTGTTGTCTGCCACTCACGACCTCACACGCTGCACTTTATCCACCTTCACTCCCTTTTCCCATTTGTTCTTTGTCATTTTGAGTCAAATCAACATCCTCTGGCGTTGTGTGTTTGTGTCTGTGACCTTGCTACATTATATGCTTCCTTCTTCTGTCAGTTTTTTTAACCTTTGTATAGACTGTAAACCCCTTTTTCGTCTGAAAAAAATGTTCTAGCAATGCTCTGCTTTTCTCTGTCTCTGTCAGACTGGCCGAGTCCCGCTCCGAACCCATCTCTGACAATGCAGCTTTGAGTCTCCCGGAGGTCTCCACTGAGAATCTGTTGCCTGTCTGCAACAATGAGTTTAAATAACATACCGGCAATAGCTGCCCGACGTACAGCACCACAGAAATTAGACAAAAAGCATACGCTCCAGTACCCAGGCTGACAAAAACAGCATGCTTTACTCAATCAGAAAGAAAAAAACATATCACCCTCCCCGGTGCACAAACTGAATGAGAAAGCCTGTATTTGATATTCAGTCACTGCTGCAGAGAAGCCAGAGTGAATACCCTGATATCATGAAATGTTATTTCTATGAATGCCTGCCTGTCAAAACCCACTTCTCTCAGTGTAAACAGCCATCTCCTGCCATCTTAAAATTTGGTGCACACAGTGTGCAATACACCACAGCGAAGAGAGCAAGGACCACAAATTTGTACACAATGCAATTCACACAGGATGAAGTTTGGAGTCTCCTCCTTTTAGTCATAATTTGTGAAACATTTCCACATGTGGTTTCCACTTGTAAATTACAGTAAAGACTGCACAAACGTCACAGTCCAAAGATGCGTGCACTGTATATATGCCTGCTATCGCTTTCTGAAAATGTGAGCACTCTCTAATCTTGCTGTTTGTTTTGGTGCAGTAACAGCTGCCAGTCACAGCACTTGCTGGAGGAAGTCCAGTGTTAGGAGTCATCATCAGACACTGGAGTGAACACTCTGTCATGATGCTGAATGGGTTTTACACGAATCATCCAGTTTGTTGTATCGAACAAACCATTTCTTTTGGGGGATGAAGGCCCCATTAGACACAGAGATATATAAAAGTGTGTGTCAGGTTTTTTTTTCCCTGGCAACACAGTCAATAAGGAAATGTTTCTTTAAGAAGAATACTTGTAACATTTACAAAGTAAAGTGGAGTACTTAAATTTAATCTCCAGCTAACTGTATATGATCGTAGTTTTTTGGTCCCAAATTCTCACTGCTTGAGGGGTATTCACGTCATTCACTTATTGTGACCTTTCCCAGCAGATAGATGTGCCAGGTTGTCATGGGAATGGTTCAGTTTGTTATATATTGGGTCATTGTTTGCAGTGGGTGGGGGGGTTTGGAATCCATCGTATTTATAATAGAGATAATGTATGAGAAGAGGGAATTTAACTACCAATTTATTCATCCGCCTTTTGTTACAGGACCCAGAAATTGTTAAATCCGAGTGCATCTTTCTGCTGGGAAACATAAGGCAGAAAGCTTCAGGAGTCCTTGAACTTTGGGTGTTGGGAAAGTTACCAGATTGTTATTTTCAAGGTCAAGAAAGAACCTTTTATCTATGTTTTATTTTTCCTTATAGGTAAAGTATTTTGGTATCCCTTTTGCATTTAGTGTCATTATCAGGTTTAAAATGATGTATTCACTAAGTAACTAAAGCTTCAAGACCATTAGGGATGCACACAACAACCAGCTGTTTTTATGTTAAAACGGTTACTCTGGCAATTTACAACTGTAATAAATAGAAAAATGTATGCTAACAGTGATCAAAATTGAATTAACAGAGGGTAAGATGTTGTTGTGACTACTAATTCCAAAATCCTGCCTTCCGTTTTCTACAATGCAGCAGCTAAAGTCTGAAAGTTCACCACACTACCAATTTGCACCCCAGGCTTTATGCCGAAGATCTGTAGTTGTGCAAAATAAGAAAAAAAAAGATAAGCAAATTTTAATCATATGCAGCCTTTTATGGGTGAATGAGTGATCTGCCTATGGTTTGCACTGCATACATAAAAGTTTGCATAGTTGTTTTTCTTTCTGTCTTAAATGCTAAATATAAATGCGAATTTACTCTCGAAAGTAACGGGCTGAGATTTCTGTAACGATCATCACGGTCCGACTGGAATACGGCGAGTTTAGCATCTCCTCATTCATTCAGCTGTCACTGTACATAAAGACAATGTTACTGTTAATGCTGTTAGGTTATGGAAACTGTGTTTCAAGCCCAAAATCAGACTAAAGAAACCTATTTCCATATGCTGTATTTTTTCAGTGTCAAAGTTGTACCTATTTACTGTATGTATACATATTGTATCATTATAAATGAAGTAGGATGATTAGAATCAGGGCTTTTCACAGGTGGGCTTTTTTTATCACTCTAATTGGGACGTGAATGTGTAGATGCTTGTGTGCTTTTGCGTTAGGTTAGACGATTGTACAGATTTAAATGACTGGGTTTTACTACTGCAGGAGTCGCTCATTTTTTTTACTTGTTATATTCAGTTACATAGTTCACACTGTCCTCTTTAAAGGATGCTTTTCCTTTTCTCTTAAACATCTCTTTTCATTAATGGAAATGATACATTCCAATTGTTTTTTTTGTTTTTTTATTAGACTGTGCGGTTTATTTATATCCACCACTCAAATGCTGTTTGTCGTCAAGAGCATGTTATATTGTGCCACAGTCTGGTTGAAGTGGTCTTCTCTGTATTCACGGCATCACGACTGAAAATAATTGTGGCGGTGGTAGGTGGGAGGTAGCAGGGAGCTCCGTATTGTTGTCATGACACCCGCTGCAGAATAATTGGATGGCTTATCAGGTTACGACATGAGGCTTAATTACACTGTTTCATTCCTGACTGTCTGAAATACCAACTCTATTACAAATTTTAAAGCAAAACTATTTAGTATGGATAACAGAAATGCCCTGTGTCATGTCAAGGATGGTCTAGGAAGCGATGTGTTCACTTTAGTATTGACTGTGAATTTGGAGGTCAGCAGAGTGCGCTGCCAGTGCGATGCTGTAATGCACAAATGATCTGTACTCTCCTTTTTCAGACCCGTTATTGATTGACTGATGGATTCCTGTGTGGATGTGTCTGCTGATTCAGTGCCGTTAGATATTTTAAGATTGGCTGCTGTCCAAGAGCTGCGAAATCTGTGAAATCTGCCGTTTAAAAAAAAACTAAACCCCAATAGTTTCAACCTGTGAAGCCGGATAATAATATTAATATTAAATTATGATAATGTATTACATTTACACCTCAGGTAATTTAGAAACAGACGTGCTACTAAAACATACTATTAAAGATATTGGGAACATTTTTTTCATGGTTTTAAACCTTTATTTTACTTTATGCTGCAGCAGTTATAGCGAGAACAGGTTGCATAGTTTTAAAAAAAATGGCACATTAACCATGATAATCTGCCATGATCTTTAATGTACCACCCTGCAATAATCATTAATGTAGTAGTGAGCTCAGTTTAAATACGAAATGTTGTCCTGGGCGTTGTAATAAGGACAGAGCACATCATGTACACTCATTCTAGAAACACTTTAAGTTTTATTTGCACTGTAATGTTGTTAAAGTGAGAAGCTAGTGACTTTTGGCACGTAGGAAATAACAGGCGTTCAAAGCTCTGTTACTGCCTGCACAGCACAATTAATCCACGAGTGGCCAAAGACATGAGTGAAAGTGCATGGGCAGGTTTTGTAGTACAGTTTCGCTATGGTGATGGTGTTAAAGTCCCAAAAATCGTCCAGGTGAAATTGTGGTAATGAATAGGCTTAAAGCTAAATTATTATTTGTAAATTAATAAAACATAAAAAGTAATCTAATGTAAGAAGAAGAAAGTCCTGGATTAATAACATTATGACGCAGATAATTCCATCAGGCTCCTCTGAGTATTGTTTCATGTAGCTAGTATACTGGAAACAGCAAGCCATCGATGTGGCAGATTCCCAGCAAATCTTGACTGGATGCGGTTCTTTGGCACAGCTGAGACTTTTGTCTTTGGGAGTGAAGAGAGAGAAACCAGCACTTGGAGGTACAGCATGCCAAACTGAGTCTTATGTGCACTGAATACAAATCACCCTGTGAGGTTCTGAGCCCAGAAAGCATTTTAGGCTGTTAGGTTTTTAAAAAATGAGAAAGAGTTCCGACTGGGGAAGCCAAGTACTCTCAGAAAACCTACTGTACTTCTTAACCCCAAATAAACACTGACGTTTACAGTATGAATTTACTTTACCAAGGTGCTTATTTTCTATCTATGCAAATAGTGGGTTTCCAGCAGTGTTGTGATATTATGTTAATAGCAGTTTGTGTATGATTCACAAGCAGGTGTCCTAATCTGTGTAAAATTGTGTACAGAATTTTGAGGCTGTTATGGTTTGTTACATATTTATGCATAATAAAGGACTTTGTACAAACACTGCATTTTGCTGAAATGTCATTTTAATTACAGGATTAAGAAACCAGTCCACAGAAGCCTGTGTTTTATTAAACTAGAAGCCTTCTGTCGTGCTGTTTAATTTCTACGATCCTGTTTGGACACTACCAGAATATCAAAATGATTCTGAACTTGAAGTTTTAAAAAATCTTCAGAAAAGAAGCTTTAAAATAGCTGTTCGGTTTGCAGACAAACAGCTCAAAATCAAACATTTCAGTTTGCTTTGTCTTTATTGATTTAGCTCTTTCTGCTAAACTGTCCACAGTATTTTATTCAATCTGTACTTTTCTCAAACATTTCCCAGTTTACTGGTCAATCACAACCAAGGACGTGCACTTTGGCTGTCTGATCAATATGTCTCTAAATTCTGTCGACCGCTGTTGCCTGATTAAAGGTTTAAAAAAATGCACACCATTTGTAGTGTCTGGTGATTCTTCTTGGCTATCAATAAAAATGCCTGTGTAGTGTCATTTACACGGCCATTTAAAGTACAAACTCAGGTGGAAATTACTTTAAATACTACATACATGGATAGAATGATTTGTGACCCCTGATAATATTCAAAGATGGACTTTAAGGAAAGTACATGTATATGTATCTGACTTCTAATCTTCCTCTGGCTGGAAACTCTTCAGTCTAGCGTATAACTGTAAAACCTCACCTTCTATTGATGTTACTGGTTTTGATACTGTGTTCACAGACCTCTGCAGCTCTTTCACCTTACGTTGTGTTGGATTTATAGATTATATGTGCCAAAATTGACATGAAAGTCATTTAAAATATTGCACCATACCCAACATAACACAAATACGGTGCCACCTATGTTTGATTGTCAGTGATGGTAACGCAATATACAACATTATAAACAAAATCAGGTGAACTGCAGCACAAATGCTGTGAAATGTTAATAAAAGTATAGATTAGTATAGTAGATTTTATAAATGTAAGTGTAAACAATAATATACACTCCTCATTTATTTGCACCAGAAAGGTGAATAACAAAGAGTTATGTCTTTAAAAAATCGGTGGGGAAAATACAGCAAAGATCTGACACAGGACCCGAGAGATGCATCTGACCCTTCAGTTGATCCTTCTGCTCTTTTGTCTCAGCATAAATGCTTTCATTGGAACAGTGGCTGTCAAGGAGAAATTCATAAAGGAAGGGAAACAAGAAGAAAATGCAGAAGTATGCCATATTGCACAAGAACTGCACTGAAAATCAGTGGACCTCAATGTTATTGAAGCAATGTGGGATTGTCTGGATAAGATAAGATAAACTTTATTAGTCCAACACGTGCGAAATTTGTTGGAAAATGGATGGAGAATGGAATGTCCTTGAGA